AAGAATTTTAGGTGAAAAGAGGTGAGGTCGCAGTTGCGGAAAGGAAATCCAAATAGGAATCACTTGCAAGCTTAATAAGAATGTGCGACGAATCCAACAGGGTAACTGAAACCTCCCCGTTAAGCTTGAGATTGAAAAAAAAAATCTACATATGAAATCCAGAGAGGGTCGTTTAGAAGGAAAAATCCAACTAAAGAGAACTAAAAAGGCTTAGCTAAAGCCTCAATTTCCTGGTCCGATATCTAGAGGGAATGTAATCCATGGAAGGAGGAAGCCCTAAGTTCAGAAAAATCATTGATAGAAGATGAACCAGCAAGAACGTCTAGAAAAGAACGAGAAGAAGAACCCACTAAAAATCAGGGTCATAAAGTTTCGACGCCATCCGATACACGCTGGAAGCGAAAAAAGCAAAACCAACAAACCAAAAACCAAATTATAAAGGAAATAAAACTTCCCTGAAAAAAGCAAGGTAGCCCGTCGCCACCGAGACGAGCCCAACAGTGCAAAAAGCACCGGAGGGAGCTAGAGAAAAGCCCTAGCGGAGTGAGAGAGAGCGAGCTGAATTTTTTTTTTTTTTTTTTTACTTGAAGAGATGGAGAGAGAGAGAGAGAGAAAGAGAGAGAGAGAGTCAGCATAATTAATTTTTTAAAATTAAGAAAAATTTGTCTTATTGCCAGAATAATTAATTTTGATAGTAAAGGAAATCTTAATGAAAACTACAAATTAAACTGTCAATTATTTTGATCGAGCGTATATAAATTTCATGCACCTTGGTCATATTTTTCTTATAGTTGATATTTGATTTTTTTTTTTTTAATTATAATATAAATAGCAAGTCCTTTTATTTTGATGATTAACAAAGGCCAGCTGCCTCGATGTTTATCACTTTTTTTTTTGGGACATAATGTTTATCACTTCACTTCTTCTGCGCTTAGCTATTAGAACAAAATTAATATATTTTTATTGTGATTTTACCTTCTTGACCTAACTTCCCAATGTGCTGGACTAAAAGCTAAATAAAGGAAGCAGACAAAGGGAAAAAGGTATGGTGAGGATTACAGGGGTTAAGAATAGGGTGTCCCGGATGGTTACTTTCAGAAGCACGTCTTTTTTGGTCCCTTCTTCACCTAATTTATCAACCCATCTTAATTTATTGATCTAAAAGTTTGACTATCAATTAAGATATTTTGGATTCGAAAATTTTGTATATGATGTATATGTGAATTTAGCTTAACTGGCTCAACTGTTCAAAAAAAAAAAAAAAACACATCTCATTATCTCTCCCTCTCTCATTAATGTTATTACAGCATACATTAATGGGATAAAATTTAAAATTCTTACTTAATTGATTTGGTTTAATTTGGTGTGTCGAGCCGAGTTCGAGTCATCCTTGGCTTGAGCTTGATTAATTAATCGATTTCAAACTCGAGCTCATGATCGAACTTTATTCAACGAGTTTGAACCAGCTCTATTTATGTAAGAGATAAAAAAAAGATTTTATGTAATCATCATAATAAAATGATTAAAAGAATAAGAAATGAAAAGAAAATTAATAAAGAATAACTTAATATATGAAAGTGAGATATAAAATTTAAATATTTTCAAAAATTTTGTACTCAAAATCATGAATGTTAATATAGTTTAAGCATATTTTATATTAATGCTTTTTAAACAAGCTAGACAACATGTGAGCTAACAAGTTGAGTCAATGTTGACTTAAACTTGACTTAGTAGCTCATCGAGCTAAGCTCATGAACCATTTGTTGAGGCAAGTCCGATGTGACTTATAAGTAATGCTATTTAATAATGGTGTATTTAATATATATGATAATGCTTAATCGTAAATATTATTGAGTGCAATTTTATATTATTAAATAAGTTTTTCTTTCTTTTGTATCACATCAATGAGTAATACTAAAATATAAGAATATATTTTATGCAGCTCCTTGATCTATTAATTAGAAGTTTTGGCTATCAATTAAGATGTTTTAGTTTCAAAGCTTGTGTATGTGATGTACATGTGAATTTGTTTTAATTGACCTAAATATCATGCAAGTTCACGTGGCCCAATTAAATATATTCAATTTAGTTTAAGTTTAAATCGTAAATCTTAATTAAAATTTTAATTTTTAATACTAAAGTTTCTACAAAGTAAAAAAAAAAAATTCAAATGAAATATTTTTTATATACGGTATAAACACATTATATGATTTTTAATATCATTCGTGAAAAAAGTTTGTAAAATTTTAATATTTTTATATTTGTGGGGTTAAGCTTTGCTTTTTATTTTAGAATCAAAATTAAATGATTTATATAATTTATAAATCAAATCAATCAAATATACACCATATAAGTGCTATACTGAAAAAAATTAAATTAAATTTTGATTTTTACAGATAAATAAATTGAAACGGTGAAAGTATCATTTTTTTTTTAAGAACATCTTTTATTAATCTATCATACCCAGCGCTTAAGCAAAACGAGTTTATGATATTAAAAATCATATAATGTTTATATCGTATATTAAAAAAAATTTATACGAAAAATAATTTGTTTACTCTGTAGGGTTTTAGTATTAAAAATTAATTTTTATTAAGATTTATAATTCAAAATTTATTAACTAAAATGAGTATATTTAATTGAGCCACGTCGGGTTGCCTTAATTTTAATAAAATTTAACTTTTAAAATATATATTTTTACAATTTAGAATTACTCATTGATGTGATACAAAAGAAAGAAAAAATTATTTAATAATATAAAGTTGTACTCAATAATGTTTACGATTAAGTATTATCATATATATTTATTTATTAAATATACCATTATTCGTATTTAAAATCATATATAGCCAAAACGTCAGCTATCGAAAGATGCTTAATTATTATTATTATTATTGTTATTATTATTATTTGTGCTGAAGCATTTTGCTATTTAAAAGAGGCTCGAATCCATACAGCGTTCTTTTACTAAACGGATTGTGCCACTTCAGCAAGCAAAAGGTTTGCCTCTTTAATTAGACCTCTAAAAACAGAGCATTCCCTTCTTGCTCTCTCTCTCATTCCCGCCGCCAGCAATGTCCTCTTCTTATTCTCTTCCTACTTCTACTAATTCGTTTTTTTTTTTTTTAAGTTCTCATCTAATATTAATTCCTCTATTGGATTTCTATTTTGCTCATCTTCTAGTTAGATAAATTCTTTCCGCATCGTAAATATGTTCTTCATTAAAGAATCATTCTAAAGCTCGTTCTCCTCCATTTCTCTTAGCTCTCAGTCTGGTTATGGAGAAAATAGAAGTGTCTATTAGCGATGGATTTGACAACAGCAACACAGGAACAGAGGATCAGATGCAGTTACCTCCAGGATTCCGTTTCCACCCCACAGATGAGGAGCTCATCACGCACTACCTCTCTAATAAGTTCTTAGACGCTCGATTCAGATCCCTTGCGATCGGAGAAGCCGACCTCAACAAGTGCGAGCCATGGGATCTTCCCAGTAAGCATGGCTTAATCTCTCCACCTCTTCTTCTTCAACCTTTATTCTCATTTCAATCAACTTGATGACAGAACAAGCGAAGCTGGGAGACAAAGAATGGTATTTCTTCTGCGTGAAGGATCGGAAATACCCCACTGGCCTTAGAACGAATAGAGCTACTGAAGCTGGTTATTGGAAGGCTACGGGAAAGGATAAGGAGATCTATAGGGGGAAGTTGCTGGTTGGAATGAAGAAGACGCTCGTGTTCTACACAGGAAGAGCGCCGAGAGGAGAGAAGACCAGTTGGGTCATGCATGAGTACAGATTGGAGGGAAAGTATGCCATCAATGGTCTATACAGAGCTGCTAAGGTTGATTGTCCGCTTGAAGCTGGAAATTATTTTGATCGCTGAGATCATCTTCTCCTTCTTTCTTTTAGTAACTATCTTCATCGACTAATTAATTTATATATGCTCTGTTGAACAGAACGAGTGGGTGATCTGCAGAGTTTTCAAAAAAAGCTCACTTGGGAATCCTTTCGGGATGGGAAAAATGGCTTCTTCCTCCTACGGAGAAGAGGTGGAAGATTCTCCTCCTCCTCCGAAAACTCTTCCGCCATTAATGGACATCCCAAGTCACGTGCCCTGCTTCTCCAACGGTATGGAGGGCCAAAAAGCCCATGAACAAGACATGTCCTCTATCTTCTCCAAGTTCATTCCCATGTCCACCGCTCTCTATGACGGTAGCTTTATGAGCTTATTTGAAAGCCATGGTTTCGAAGAGAAGCAAGGATGCAAGAAGAACAGGGAGATGCTGAGCTTCTCAGAACAGACTGAGCTTATCGCCGAAATGAACACAGAAATTTACTGTGATAACGAAATTGGAAGGAGTTCTTTTGAGCACTGTCTTTGGAATTGCTAAATAATTCGTATTTGAAGTTCTTGCATGAATTGATAGTATGTGTATTAGACTTATTTCCTTCGGTTTGATAAGATTGTGATTGTTGTGTTTGGAATTGTTTCTGTTTTGAAAATTTTGAGCATTTGCAGTAATAAATAAGTGTTCCAAGTTTGTTATATTTATCATATTCATGCAACCTACTTTAATTTGAGAAATTATTATGTGCGGATGCCGGACGCAGCTCTACGTCTGAAGGCGAAATAGGTGCAGCGACGTCAGCGGTATGGAGCTGCGATACAAAGCAATACAGAGCCGCAGTACTAAGCGAAGGGGTGATGTGGCGCATTCTGGTTAGTCTCCGAACGACTTTCTAGAGGTTTCATGTATTGGCTCCATATATAAGCTCGTATTTGAGGTCTAACCTATAAAGTTATAGGTGAGTTTTGAAATTAGACGTGCTCAAAAGCCAAAAAGAAATGTTTTATTTACTTAGGGGATGTTTAAGATCACCTTCTGCTTTCTATTTTTATTTACAAAAAATATATTTAATTACTATTTTTAGCTATTTTTATTTTTTATTTTTGAAACAAATTAAATTATTTTTTGAGATAGTCAATATAGTTTTAAGTAATTTTTAGTTTTTTTTTTTTTTAAGGAAAATCACCTTGGCTACATCCGTCTCCATCAGACACTAATAATTACTAACATCACTTATTATCATTATCTTATATAATATACAATAAAAAAATATTTATTTAAAATATCAAATATATTTTTATTTCATATTAGCATATAAATAAAAAAAAAATTAAAAACAAAGTGAACTCAAATGGCCTCTTAGGATGTCAATATTAGATTAGACATAATATCTTTTTTTAGCCAAGAAGATAATTCTTCTATTACGATCAATTGCCTTTGGGCTTCCGTTGAATTTTAATTAAGAACACAACCTATAAAACAAAGAGTTTATCCTTCTCTTTAGTTAGGTTTATTTCCTGTTGATTTGATATTAATTTCAAATTATTAAGATCTTATTTGGGACAGCTTTCCTATAATTTTATGAAGCTGCTTCTTAGTACAAATTTTTGTACTAGAAAACTACTTTATAAAACAGTAAGAAAGTTGTCTAAAACAAAACCTAAATTATGGCTTTGTTTTGGACGGCTTTCTTACTGTTCATTTAAACAACTTTTTAGTACAAAAGTTAAAATTCTGCACTAAAGCAGTAAAAAAACCGTCTCAAACAAAACCTCTATCTCGTAAGTTAAGCCCCTTCCATATAATAATAGTCATAAACTTAAAACTCATAAGAAATAGTTTAAATATAAACCTGATCTATTAACACGAATGAACATCTTATATTTGAGTAGGTATCCGTTTGCTAACAGCTATCATTTGAATCAGTCCGTTGGAACTGTATTAATTGCATAGAAATATTTTTTATATCTACTCAAATTATTCCATGTATCATTTTCATGATACACTTTATAAGATGTAACTAATATCAACTTATAATTTGACTGTGTTGTATAAAAATTATAGATTTTTTTTTTGTTGGGCAAGCTGATCGATCAAAGGAATGGTGGGGACAATAGTCTAGTCATCTAGAAGATCTAATATTCTTAGGTCACCAACAATACTGTTTTTGTCTCTGTATGAAGCCAATTGGACTCTCAATGATATGGGAGTCTTTTGGTGATTTTAATACCGAATGATTTGCATTAGATTGGTCCACCCACAAATCTCTTCACTTCTCTGTCTTTGTAGTTATGTCAATGATGATGCCTTGAAATAAAATAATTGCGTAAATTCAATGTGGCTGATGTCAGGTAGGTCACCTGCCCATAATTCTCTTTACATTACCAAATCATTGAGGACCAAGTACTTAATCCTGAGCTCATTCTCTGCCTAAACCGTTTAAATAACTGCGCAGTGTTTTTTTTTAAACGTGCAACAACTTTCTTTTATGAAGGTATTTGTATGGAGGGAGGAATTGTGTTTTTTTTTTTCCTTTATATAAAAAAATTATTATTTATCTATTAGAAGAAGATAACAGGCATATAAGAACAATGAAAAAAATTAGGCTCTTGTCCCCGACAATGTTGAATTGTTGTCGATTGAGTCTTATTGTCTTTTCTCTAATGAGTAAGAGTTGTGGTCGGAGGAGAACAAATTAGTGGAAGAGTTAGGTGAGAGAAGTAGACATAAGATATTTAGATTTGTATTTGGAAAAGGAGTTGATTAACCTTAGCTATATGACCTATCTACCATGTGTTTGGTGCATATGTAGGAGTGTAGGGGTGTCAATATTTGACATGATCAGAAAATCGGATTTGAGCCCGACCCGAAAATTTCGGGTTTGGATCAACCCGTTTATGAAACGGGACGGGTTCGGGTTCAACAAACATACCCATTTCAAAAATCTGGTCAAGTTTGGGTTGACCTAGAAACACGGGAATGACCTAAAAAATAAAAAATTTTATAGGAGTAAAAATTATATATTTTTTCATATTTAGTTATAATATTCTCTTTCATGCTTTTCATGATAGTTTAATTACACCTTTTTTTCTTTATTTTTCTTGTTTAATTTTTTTAGAAAAACTTTTCGTAATATATAGATATATTATTATTTTTTAATATATATATATATATATATATTATTTTTATTATTTTAATATTTTTTATACTAGCTCCAAAAAATGAATGTAAGCTTTCTCTATTTTTCATTTAGAACGGGAAATATAGATAAGATTTTGAGTCTCTCGTGCTCTAGCAATTTGTGGGTGTTCTAAGGTTACACCATCGTGCTCGTTGGCCTTCTTGGCATGGTTTTCTCTCTACTTTTCATTTGTTTTCTTAATCGTTGATCTTTACTCGTCTTTTTATATGTTTGGTTTTGAGATTTTCCTGGGATTTTTGGTTTTTGGGAAATGATAACTCCGTCATCATCCCTTCCTCCGGCTCCTTATCTTGTTGAGGGGAAATGTCGAACTTTTAAGGATGCCATAGCTGCTTTTGCTTCATCTTCTTCAAAATTGAATTTTGTGCATTCCTCGCTTAAGGGCTATCAGTTTTCTTCTTCGAGGATATTGTGGTCACTCAACTGGCCGCTCCATTTTCTTTAACATTGGTAGGCAATGTTTTGTTCAGATGTCTCAACCTTGATGTTATACAAAAATTTTTTTGCTACTTTAGACTATCGGGTTCTTTCCATATTGGTTTACTTGATCAAAGGCATGTCGTGATTCAACTCTCTAATAATGTTAAATATAGCTGGATATTTGCTAGGAGATCCTATTATATCTAGGCATGCCAAATGCATTTGCTCAAATGGCCACCGAATTTTGATGTTAGTGAATAATCCCTTATAGCGCCTGTTTGGATTTCTTTTCCAATTCTTTAATTCTCAAGTTTTATATAGTTTGGCTTTGACTTTTTGGAGGACCAGTACAAACTGACCAGGCTACAATGGCTATTTCTCAACCTTCTGTAGCACAGGTTTTGGTTGAGATGGATATCTCTAAGAAAAATCCCACTGATATTTGTTAGAATTGAAATGATATTTCCAAAAATTTGAATTTGAAAATCTTCCTATTTTTTGTTCTTATTACAAAATGCATGTACATGGTATTAATGATTGTTTTAATAAGCATCCTCATCTTTGTAAGGAGAAGGATTTTTCTAACAAACCGTAAAAGATTGATGTAGATTTGATTCATGTTGAAAATTCTTAGAATTTGGAGGGATTTGAATTGAAACAGATTGAAAATTGTGAGGCTAATATTCATCTAGCTTGCGTTGGACCTACGGTAACTGATGTGGATTTGATTCATGTTGAAAATTATGAGCATTTGGAGGGATCTAAATTGAAATAGATTGAAAATTGGGAGGCTAATAATCATCTGGCTTGTGTTAAACCTATGGTAAATAATGTTGTTGATGTCCCTAATGATCAGGGAGTCCTTGTTAAACCTTCATCTGATTTATTTATTGTGGGTGCTAATATGGAAGTGCCAGTTTTGGTGGATGGTGCTAACCAAAATACATTTAGAGTTGATGTTACTGCTACTTATTCTATTAACAAAAATTGTCCTAAAATGAATGAAATGTTCTTAGCTAATACCTCTATTAACGGTTCCATTTTGAATGAGCCGAAAAATGCTAAGGTTATTCATGTGAGTAATAACTTGCTTGAAAAAAAGTAATACTGCTATGATTGGGTTTTCGTTTTTTTTTTTTTTTTTTTGAAGAATGCAAACTTGCATAAAAATAAAAGAATCCTAAATACAATCTAATGTGATATAGCAAAACTATCACATTCTTCTTTTACTAACCTGGATCCTAAGAGATTCAGTTAGTGTCTGGAAAATCTGAAATGAGCTCAATTTCATGAAATCTGATATCTGTTCTGTTCCGGATCCGATGAAATCTGTTCTGGTGCTTATGCACATCTATTCTGGTGCCGTGAGCACATAAGCATATTTGTTCTGGTGCCGTGAGCACAAAGGGAGGCATAAGGGGCCAGAATCCGTAGAGATTCTGTCAGTGTCAGGGAATTTAGCTATTAATTATAATACTATATGATATAATCTGATTCTGATTTCCGTATCTGTTCTGTAAGCAAATATGATTTCTGAATTTTTGTACGATATAATTTGATATGATCTGTATGATATGATTCTGATACGATTGTGACACGATTCTGTTCTGTTCCGATATCTGATTTCTGTACGATTTTGATTCTGTTGATTTGATCTGTATGACTCCGTTCTGATTCGATATTTCTGTTCTATTCTGATTTGATATACGATTCTGTTTCGATTTCTGTACGGATTTTTGTCTGATGTGTTTGATGTGGATTCTGGAAGTTTTGATTGGAGGTTTGTCGCTTTGCTGAGCTGTTGAGCTCACCCTTGTTTTCTGGTGGTTTTCATGTTCTGGGAAAGGGAATGAGGTCCAGGACTAGATTTCAAAGTCTGATCAGTTATAGGTATTATTTTGTACTTTTGATTTTTGAACAGACATGGCTCTTCTGCTCTATTTCTTTCTATCTGAGCCATGGTCTGTAGTTGTAGATGATTATTTTGAGGAAAAGAAAGAAAAATATAGATGTTTGGTTCCGCTGCATTTGATGTTTCATAGTAGCTCTGTGCGTCTGTTTTTGAGTTGAAATATTTG